TTGCAGGTTCTCTCATTTATCCTTCTTTTTTCTTGGTTTCTATGCCAATGACCTTGATAGCAAATTCTTTCAGGGGCAAACATGGATCCTCTTATCAAACTTCTCTCTGGCTCACAGAAGTCACTGTAAAACCTCTTCCACACAAAGCCATGGTCAGGCCCTCAGCAGAGTGAGCAGCCAGTCCTAACCGCCCCTACAAGAGTGCAAGCTGAGTTATTCTGCTTTAAAACAGTTTCCTTCTGATGTAGGGTTTCAAAAAACTTCAGCAGAGTGCCAAGAGTAGAAATGGTTGGCACTGAGTGTGTGCAGCCAAAGGTTTCAGTGCCAGAAGGACATTTTGGGACCTACACAGCACAGCTCCCATCTCCTGGGGAAGTTCAGCCCTCTGAGTTCAGCATCCCCCAGCCTTGCTCTCCCCATGAATACTTGTGGGTGCACTGCCGTGTGTTGTGAGGTGTCAGTACACCTCACTGCTCATACAGAAGCAGCTCCTGTGAAAGTTAATTGAGCCTTGCACGTGAAATGAGGCCTTTGAGTGTGCTGGTGAAACAGCAGGACAAAGGCTACAAACTGAACCTTGACTCAAGCCAACAGAAGCCATGAGAAAGCTGGCAGCTCTTTGTGAGAAGAGTTCTGCAGCAGCAAAAAACAATTTGTTTTCCCTGAGGAAGAACCCTAAGACTGTGGAAAACAACCTGCTTTCCCTGAGAAAGAGCTAAGACTGTGGAAAACAACCTGCTTTCCCTGAGAAAGGGCTCTAGGACTGTGGAAAACAACCTGCCTTCCCTGAGAAAGGGCTCTAGAACTGCAGAAAACAATCTGCTTTTCCTGAGAAAGAGCTCTAGGACCTCAGAAAACAACCTGCTTTCCCGAAGAAGGAGCTTTAGTACTGTGATAAACACTAGCCACTTTTATAAACTCTTTTTACACCGTTAGATTGAAAAATGAAAACTATCTCTCACAACCAGCTTTTCCTGCACGTACACACAGGGGAACTGAGTGACCAGTCAATACAGGGTAACAACTTGTTACTGACCAATTGAGGATAGACACTGAATATTCTTTAAAAACCTTATAAAAAGAGATGCACAAAATAGACTAAAATCGATCCTTTTCTTTTTACACCACAAAGTGTATCCTGCATCCTTCTTTATCGAGCATGACAGTGACATCTGAGCTCCTTTGGGATTTCAAGAATGCGATAAATGAGTGATTTTTCTGTTTTTTTTCACTCTGATTTCAGGGACTCCATCTATAATAAGAAAGGAGATCAGATTTGGCAATGATCAGATGAACCTAAAAGGGCTTTTGGCACTGTTTTCAAACAGAATTATTTAGCTTAGCTCATTGACAAGGTCTATATATCTACTGATGTGTAAACTCCAGAGTCCACCCAGTGAGCTGTGCTGGATCTCTAATTCTCATAGAGAAAATTCTGGTTGGAAGATTAAAGGAGAAAATCAGGCATTCAGGTAATGTCATTTCCAGCTCAGCAGCAGCATCTCTTGTACTCATCTTGTCCATATTTTCAGGCTGCCATTCAGTGGAAGCAGCAAATTAATATCTGCAGGGTTGGAAGCACGGAAAAAGTGGAGATCAGAGACTTGAGGGAGAGTTGGATGGGTAAAACAAGTCATTTTGCTATTTGTCTAACCATGGGAAAAGGGGCATGACTGCCTCCTCCTGAGTCCACTTATTTAACTGAGCAATTAATTCCTTGGTACCCAAAAAGCAAATATTTGCAGTTAGTGTCTCAGTTTGGAGAAAGCTCTAGGAGACCTTTCTGCCCAAACCTATAAACTGTGAAAACACAGCACTGCAGCTTTTCCAGCCATGTACTTAAGTTAACATTCAAAACTCCTGAATTTAAAGAGCTGGTTTTAGGGGTCCATTGTCTATCCTGACCAAACTCCTTCCCTTTAAAGAGTTTTTAAAATGCTTTCTAGATATGCAGCAACGAGTTACTTTCAGGTAGCACTATAATTTCTCTTGGAAACACCCAGCACTGTGTTTTATTGTAGTACTTCTCCCTCTGGTCATTTATTTTCTTGTGCCAGCTGGTCCCCAGCTCATGGTGGCACTGATGTCCAGGACAGGGACCCCTGGTGTGGCCAGGCCATCTCCCAGCAGCAGGAACCTCACACCTCATTTATCCTGACCCACCAATTCCCTGAAATTTGCATTGCCCAAACACTCAGCTGCAGATCTGACTCACTCCACTCCCCAGCAGGTCAGGCAAATAAACCTTTCAGCTGCTTCCCAGCAGCACTGCAGTCACCAGTGTTTCCAAAAAGAGACTGGCTTGGAAATGTGAGTACGTATTTTCCAAGGAAAGAAAGAGTGAGTTTTTGAATTTATGAAAGAACAAAAATAATATTAAATTAAGCAAATGTCTCCAGATTCTCAGACATGCAGCAGCAGCAAAATCAAAAATCCCCACATTGTCTTCTTCCTTCCATCATCTCCCTTCTTCCTTTCATTTCTTCCTTCCTTTCCTTCCTACCCCCTCTCTTCCCTTTCCTCCTTTCTATCCCTCCTCTCACTTCCCTTCTCCCTCCAGCCCTGCCTCTGCTCCTTCCTGCATCCCTCCCAACCTCCCTTCTCTTTCTCCTCTCCATCTTTGGGACAGACTGAGTGGTCCTGAACACTTCCCAAACCCGGGAATGTTTTTCTTCCACAGTAGAAGGATGTTCTCTGAAACGCCTTTCAAGTCATCTTTTATCTTCTTGCTCTTCATTATCCCAATTTCCTGTTCCTTTTACCCAAATCTGTACAGATAACCCAAAGGTGGCTGTTGTGCTGAGTGACTTTGTTATTGTTGGGGAATGAGAGCAGCTCCCAGACCTGTTTCCAATCCTGGGAATGGCGGCCACATGCTGCCTCCCAAAATATGGTTTTCCCTTCCCTCCACTCCCACACAGTGGTTTTGCAATGGAGGTAAATCCTTAAGCAAAGGTTCTGCACTAACAGCAAGGTCATGTTGAATCCTCCAGCACACAGAACTGGCACACACACCGGTCAGGTTTGCAAGGCTTCAAGTCTTCTCCTAATCAGAGATGATTTCTCACTCAGTGATGCCATCCAGATAAAATATTTCTCTATATTTTTCACATTTATGTAAGTTCTTCCACAGATTGGAATCTTAAGCATATCACAATACACACATAAACAGTTTTTTCCACTTTTCTCTAAGAAAATCTTTTCCCCAAACCAGCTTGGGGAGAGGCCACTTGAATTTGTTTTCCTAGAGGAAACCCCTTTAGAGGTTTTTCTCCCAAAATTGCCCTAAACCAGGACAAATACATAATTAAATCCATTGTTAAAATGTTTTAACATCCTTCAGGATATCTGTGTATAACAGGGGATGTTATATAGTGTTATATAAAAGCCTGCCCAGTTACTACTCAAATAACTGGAACTTTTCCTTTATAATTGTAACCTGTGTTTTCTCTTTTCTGTTCCTTCAATCCATTTTCCTTGGAAATTACCTCATGTGATCACCCCACACTGAATTAGTTATGGATTTCACAGCAATTCCACAGCATCCTGGCTTACTGGTGCAACTACTGGCCTGAATAACTTGAAATGCAAGGCAAGAATTGCAAAACAAAGTCAATCAGACAGATGTTTATCTTTAGAAATACATGTTTTGTATCTTTTATCTTTAGAAACACATGCTGAATAACATTAAAATATTTCACAGGGACCATAATTGATAAGGAAAAGTTATACAAATATTTGTTTCAGCAATTTCAAAAAGACCTGTAAAACTGGTACAGCTCTAAAAGTAAAACTGTGCAGCTGAAAGTGTCCATTTTATCTCTATAAAACCATGTATTTTCATACAGCCCTTCAGAACAGGGGGAAATGTCAGAAGGTGTTTTGCCACTTTCATTGCTGCTGTAATCTAAATAATCACCTCTGTTCCAAGCCTGCTGTTTTGCACCCCTCAGCCCTGTGTGTGCACTACCTTCAGCTTCCACCTCGAGTTTTCTTTATACACACCACATTAAGGCAGGAAATATAATGCAGTATTATCACAGTTTTCATTTTGGAACCTTGCTGATAACACAGGGCAGCTGCAATCCTCATTCCTGTGGCAGATCCACTCTCCCTCTCATTTCTAATCACTGATTAATTAGGAAATGGGCCTGCATTTATCTTCCCCACCCTTGAAAATGAAAGGTCTGACTTGCTCATGGACAGGGAGAAATCTTTGAAAAGCAAAACTTCCAGCTGTGGACTTGATCCCAGTAAATATCATGCAAACTCTGCGAAAACTCTCTTCTGTGCATCTGTTTAAGTAATAAAGAGAATGGTGTGAGGCACAACTCTGACACGTCATACAGGCTTTGAGATTCTCCTCAGCTTATGGCTGAATATTTAATCAAAATGTTTAATCAAAATTCCTCCACGTGCTTATGGCACCACAAGAGCAACCTAGTGAAGAAGCAGATATGCCACAGAGCTCTAACAGAACAATAGTTCAAACTTCAGAGCTGCCTTATTTATAATTTCTTGGTACAACAAGAGAACAAATTGGTGTTTTTTCCTACTGACAAGTAAATTTTGCCTTTCTTCTGCAAATCTTTCTTTTGCTTCCCTGCAAAAAGCACATTTTCCTATTGCTAATACCATTGAACACATGCATGACTTCTGATTGTGATGGCCTGAATTTTAGCATCTGTATTGTTTCACACTTCACATGAGACTGAAAATGGAAAGTTTTTAAAACACCTCTCAGTTGCCCCATCTCTGGGTCACAAAAGGGCTCAATCCAACAGCTGAGCAGAAGAGTGAGCATTACAGCTGAATGGAAAAACCCAACACCTCCTCTTTCCTCCTTACCAGCCTCTGTAATCTGTCAGGGAGTGAAGCAGAGTTGCCCCATCCAGCAGAGAGCTGCACAGACCTGCACAGGGCTGCTGGCAGCAATTACCTGGCACTCCCTGCAGCTGCACCCTCCCAAACAGTCTTTGTGCCTCTTTGGCACTCTGCAGGCAGGCAGCAGGAGTTTCACACTGCCCTGCAGCCTCCACTCGCTGCCCACCATGGCTGGCCCAGAAAAGGCTCCCTGGCTGCCAGGGGAAACTCCTCAGATGTGGAACAGGGTGTGAACCTGGGCAAAACCTGAGCAAAATGCCACCAGAGCTCATCTGTCTCTTCCTGTGCACTCTGAGCGCTCCAAATCTCTCAGGTAAATGACTGAAAGATCTTCACTTACCGGAGCAGGAGACAGAGTGGCTGTGAGTAACAAAGTCTTTCGTCCTTTTGTTCAAGATGCCTCGGCAGCACTTAAGTTAATGAGTACGAGGTCAGGTGATCTTGAATTTTAATTCTTTTTCTAAAATGAATATCACAATAAGCAAATGAAAAAGGCAATCTGTAAATTCTGTTCTGCAGGTTATTTCTGAACTCTAGAGAGAAATTTCAGTTTGAAGGAATTTAAGTAATGCTGTATTTGTCTCTGTTCTTTTGCTGTTCTGTGAGAAGCTGAACTCTCAATTCTTCTTTTCAATACTGATCACTGAGCACAGGGATGCTCTGCCTGTGGAGGGGATGCAGGGTCAGAGAGGAAGGGTATAAAGTGCTAATTAATAGCTCAAATCGCTTCTCTGAGGGTCTCCTTCACCCTGGAAGGAGGCTGTACAACTGGTAATCTGCTCCTCCAAGTACATGCTCCACACCAGACCCATGTCAGAGGAGCTTGGTCTCAATCTCCTGACTGCATTCCAATGTTTGCAATCTCTGTTTTCTACAAAGCAAACATGGCCAGTCTGCTTGGGTTTTCCCTGGTCCAGGTTTCCTCAATGTGCCATTTTAGGTTGTGTCAACAACATTCTGGTTGTCTTGTGTTCCTTTTTTTTCCTCTGCCTCAGAAAAAATCTTTTTACAGCTGCCTCACTATTTATAGCTGTTAGATGCTCAGACAGAATCCAGTGACAGCATCAAGTGGTTTCTGCTGGGAAGGTTTATTCTGTGCAATAGGGAAGATTATGACAACTATATTTTAAAAGATGACAGAGCTAGACAATGGTTCTTTAAAGAAATGTGGAGTTGTTGTTACTGTATTTTTGCTCAAGGCTTGGCTACCTGAGAGCTGTTCCAGGCAGGAGCACTGCTGCCTCTGTGGGTGGTGACTGCCAGCCTCACACCGTGACAGAGAGTAGGAGGGGAAGGTGGCATAACTTACACCCTGTCTGCCATTCTCTTGGCCTCAACCTGAGATACAGAAATTCACGTCCCAGTCTCCTTTCTGAGCAGAGAACATTTATTTGGTGGAATGTTAATGCCCTAAGCTGCCCCTGATGCTGTGCAGAGCAGGCTCCAGGTCAGGAGACAGTGTGTTACTGTCTAGCCCAGGACTCTGGGCTTTGGTTCTGGATGCTGGGGACAGAAAAAGCCAAGGGGGATGTAGCAGGGTCTTGCCTCTCGCTGTGAGTTTGGTTAATCAGCAGATGAGGGAGGGATGGCCCCAGAGCCTGCAGGTTGGAGTTCTAGCCAAAGAGATTTTAGCACAATTTATTATCCTTGTGGAAACTGCTATTTTCAGGACTTAGAGATGTGTGGCTTTCATTTTTAACATTTAGCTAACAAAGAAATGCCTTTCTCTTCTCAGGATGTTATTTTATTGTTACCAGTGTTGAGAATTCCCTTGTCAGATTTCCCTTGACTGAAATTTCCTCAGAGTCAGACCATGCTCCAAGATTCAAAAAGCTGGTGGTATTGTTGTTCTCCAGACTAGCAAAAGAAGGTTAAACAATACAATAACTGGAAGTTAAAAAGCCAATGCTTACTACCACAACAGGAAGGATTTCTCAGCCTTATATATAAAATTTTAAGGGATAGGCCAGGTAAAGCACTCCTGAATACTATACAGCACCAAGTCTGAGGTTGCTGTTTCTTCTTGTGTTTGCTGAACCCCTAAAAAGAGATAATATTATGAACAAAGAGGTAACTGTATTAATATTTTTAAATATTAGCAATAAGTAGTCGTGATAGTAGTGATGAAGTAACAGCAAGTAATGAGAAAATATTACATTGTTCTATATTCACAGAGCAACAAGGATATTAAAATCTATCCCAGAGGAATGGAACTTTATCAAGGTTTATTTAAGGTATTTTAAACTAAAATGTAAGACAGACAAACGTGCTATGGTTTGACCATGGTTTTTTAATTGTAATTCTCTAACGCAAAGCGAGTAAAACCACTAAATTAAAAGGGCCATCACCACTCTAAATGGAAATGTATTCTTTGTGTAACAAATTAAATAGAATATACTGCTGATAGGGTAGGAGACAAAAATGCTATTTACAGAGAAAATATCATTTCTTTGGCATGACTGGAGGCATTAGGGTGAGAGTCAATACCCTGGCTTGAATGAGTAGTTTGGCTTTTCCTGTGAGGCTGCTGGTGGATCCAAAACCAGATGGGAATGTGGCAGCTCTGGGCTCTCAGCCCTCTGGGTCTCTGTCCAGTTGTCTCCTGCTTTGGATGATTATTGTTTCCTTTTCCTTCAAAATGAACAAGCTAGAGCTGCTGGATTATTTCAGCATTCAAACAAAACACTTTATTCTTTGTACTCAGTGCTATTTATATAACCTAGGATTGTCTTTCCTCCCACTGTTAAATTTGTGTTCGTTACAATTGCTTTTTGGGCTGTTGCAACAGATGGGTGGGAGAAACCATGAATATAATTTGCTTGGCTATGACACAGGATTATGTCCAGATCAAAAGTACTCTGGAAAAGCATGAACTCTCCTCCAAACTGCAGCTTTCAGCATCTGAGGCCAAACAGGAACTTAAACCAGAGAACTGCTTTTATAGAGGCGTGTACCTTGCCATTGGGTACAGAGCTTCTCCTAATGAAAGCAGGAAAGAATTTCTGTACGAACTTTTCATAATTTCTGTATCTTCATAATTCTGAATTTTCCTAATTTCTATATGAACTTTTGTGGTTCAGCTGAAGTGAGGTGGCAGCCACTGTGCCAGTAGAAGACGCACTGGTTTTGACAAGAAAAAAGTGCACTAAGCCAAGCATAGCCAGGAAATGAAGATTGGTCTCAGCCGGCAGGAAATAACCCTTGGGCCATTACAAGACTGATAGTCCAATCCAGAATTCTCTGCTTTTCAAATAAGTTTCTAGACAGTTTAATAATATAGGGTTTAGCACTATTGAATGCAAAAAAAATTATATCAAAAATGTCCTAAAGTCAAGACTTGAAAAATAGGAAAACCTTCAGTGCAGTTCACCCCTGCTCAGACCTGAGCTTCGTTGTGTCTCTGAGTCCTGGGGAGAACCAATGTTTGTTCATGAAAAGGAAATCTGGTATGGAATTCACACCCTCAAGTATGCCAAATCCCAAAATTAACATGGGAACCAAGCGCAAGAAAAAGTAACAAGACATCTGGGGCCATCCCTCCCTCGTCTGCTGATTAACCAAGCATGGAGAAGAATGGAGTGCACAAGAGACCAAATGGGTGGTTATGCTTTGCTTTCCAACCTAGTTCATGTTGTTCACACATGTGATTCACACTGTGATTCTGCTGCAGTGTGAAGGTCACTAAAAACTTTGCTTTTTTCATTTTTTAAAGACTGCAAGTGCTTTGACTATGGTGCTCTGAGCCTATGGAGCCAGAGCCTACCAGAACTGTGGATCTGGCAGAGAGTGACCATTCCATTGTCTAAAGGACAAGGAAGAAAATTTCTCATCCCAGAGAAACCTGAATTTTATTTCAAAGAGCAGCTGAGCATTGTGTCAATAATGTATGACTTGTGCCAAAGAATCATAGGAGAGCTGGCATAATGATTGCCCACATCATTAGTAATTTTATAACAATATGATACAGGAAATTAGACAGCTATTGTTCCAATTATTTAAAAACATTGCTCATGGACTTGTCAGCCTGGTTTTGATCATGGGTAGAACAACTGACAATTTGCTGGATAACTTTGTAAACATGGCTCAGAAGAAAACACCATTTTTAGACGCAGGTAAAGACTATTGGATGACAAACCTGGTTAAGTGAAATAAATTTAATCAAAAAATAATCTTTAAGTAACACACTGTGATAGCACAGTAACCTTGTTTTGGGGAGAGTGCTCACCAGTGAGCTGATAGAAACCAGTCCATCCATTCCGCCCTCCCAGTGGTTTTTTGGGAACCATTCCCTGCTGAGCAGAGAGAATGGGACTTTCCTGGGACTGGAAAGCAGCAGAAGATAAGTCTGAAAAGTTCCCACAGTGTAGTCCGTGGGGCATCCTGCCTCCTGTGCTCCAAACATTGCCAAGGATCTTATATGAAAATACTCCAGGGTAAAATCAACCACCATCCCTTAGTTATGCTGTGGAAACCTCAGAGGAAAGTAATAATTCCTGTCATAGAGCATGGAATAAGCTTATTCTGTTAATAAACTTTGATCACAGCATACAGGACCCTCCATTGTCAGAATCCTGTTGAAGGAGCTATCCCAGAGCTGGGATCTCCCTCAGCAGCAAATCCAGCCTGGAAAGGAACAACACATTTGGAACCACGGCCTCCTTGGAACAGTTTATGGAGTGCAACAGAGCCAAGTCTGGTTTTTGGCTCCATTAAACCCAAATGGAGGGCTTGGCCTTTTCCTCCCATCACAAAAACTCTGGTGGGAAAGATCTGCTGAGGTCACTGTTAGACTGCAATAGACTGCAGCTCTCAGCCTGGGATGGGCAGCATCCATCAGCTTCAGCCAGGCAAGAAATTCTCTGTCCTAAACCAGAACTGACCCAGTATTAAAAATGCATCCAACTTTGGAAGCTATTCACTACTTCATCAGGAAGCAGTCCTCACTCACACAGAGGTCTTGGTCAAACTGTTTCAGTGATACAATGAAAAACTAAAATAAGGCAAAGGAGCACTTTTAGCTGAGCTGCTCCATCCTTTCTTCTTCTCTGTAATATACTTCAAACACTGAAGTGACTGTAGTGAAATGTGGCATGTGCTTCTCTAATGCAAAACACTGTTTTGCACTATTCTTCTAAGCTTCCCCCCCCCCGCCCCCCCCCACCCCCAGGTAAACTCTTTTTTTTTTCTTTCTTTCTTTTACTGGGAATTTTAGGAGGAGATGTTTTGTTGCCAGCACCTCAGAGTATCTCCATTCTTTCAACCAACATGAAACACTTCTTAACTTGGAGTCCTGTGATCGTCCAGGGAGCAACTGTGAAATACTCAGTTGAGTTTCAAGGGTAACTACTCAATTTTTTTTTTATTCTTTTTGCTTTTTGAACATTGTTTATCTCAACTTTAGGTTCTAAATTGTTGGGTGTCTTGATCATATTCAGTTCACAAGCCTAAGAGAAGTTTAGCACTGTTAATGAGAAAGGAAAAATTCCTTTCGTTCCAATTCTGGGACAGTTTGCAGGTTAATGGATGCTGGAGTAATCCAAGGTGTGATCAATTCCATATAAGAAATCTGACTCTATCCAAGAATTCAAAAATTAAGAAGATTTGCAACATTTTGTTTAGAAGAGGAAGGAGAAAACATTGAGATTTATTTCTTGTAAAGCTTTTAAACATTTGACACCACAGGAGGTTTCATTGCCAAGGATACATCTTGAGCTCTGACTTTTATTACAATATGGCTTTGGGACTGGGAGTGATCAAGTCAGATGAGTGGGCAGGGCTTGCTGCATCAACACTGTGTGGGCTGTCCCCACCTCCCACAACACCACATTTGGCTCACGAACCCGCTCGGGGTGGTTTTCTCCAGCTAAGATCCAAAACACACCCACACTGCTTCCAAACACCTGTGGTGCTCTGTCCCCAGTGCATCCCAGTGCAGGTTTTACCTGGAAAGAACCCACCAGCATCCTTGGCTACACAGATAGAGCTCGTGTCAGACTGCTGCCTGTTGCTTCCTCTCCTCCTCAGGGAATACGAGCGGGAATACGCCAACGGGAGCTGGATCCCCATCTCGGAGTGCTCCCTCACCACAGCCACCATGTGCAACCTCACGGAGGACATCTCAGCCACCGTGGCCTACAAGCTGCGTGTCAGGGCAGAGCTTGGTGCCACCAGGTCACAGTGGGGCACCACGAAAGGCTTCTTCAACCGCGCCATGAGTGCGTCCGGGCTTCAATGACATCTCCTGGGCTGCACTCTCAGAGCTGGGTGTTGGGGTGTTCTCAGGTGCCTGTTTGTGCCCAGAGCGTGGCAGGCAGAGCACAGATATGCACAGAGCACACCCTGCTTCTCAGCTTTCAAGATGCTTGGTTGGGGGGTTCCCTTCTCAGACAAAGTTCTTGGGCATGAGTTCATCCCAAGGCAGAGCCATAATCATCTGGACTTGAATTTCAAGGGTTTCAAAGATAAGCAAGATGACTCCAGGAACTTCCTTTTACAGGCTGGTCATTCTTATCCTTAAATTTAAAGGTTTCTGTTCAACCAGGCTTGCTGTCGTTTAATCCAAGCCAGGTAGTCACCTGTAAGAGGTCCAGAACCTGATCCTAAGGGAGCTTTTACTCTAGAAAACAGCTCTGTCATGCTCTATGTGCCTTGTACTGTCCTGAAAATCCCACTCCATGGTTCCCTCTTCCCATCTTTCAGGTGACCTCAAAAGAGGAGAGAAAACTGGAACCCACAGCATTAATTTCCTTCTAGCAATGCAGGATGTTTTCTCCACATCCTTCCAAGTCCTGCAAAGCCTGAGGCCCAGCTCAACCCAAGGATTAAATGAGCATAATGTTTCTCTGGAATAATTTCCTCTGTTCTCTGCCATGTAGTCAACAAAAACTGTGGTGGGAAAGATCTGCTGAGGTTAAGACTGCAGCTCTCAGTCTGGGATGGGCAGCATTCATCAGCTTCAGCCAGGCAAGAAATTGTCTGTCCTAAACCAGAATTGACCCAATATTAAAAATTCATCCAACTTTGGAAGTTATTCACTACTTCATGATGGAGCAGTCCTCACTCACACAGAGGTCTTGGTCAAAGCAGCACTGTCAGAAGTGCCACCTAAGCTGGTGACTGTGTCTCTTTGTGTGGTAGCATAGTCTAGAGAGTGCTTTAGATAAAAAATCCTCCCCTTTTCCAGCAGCTGTGGAGGCACAGACAGAGGCACAGACCACACTGTCAGGCAGAGACAGGAGAAGGACATCCCTGAGACTGACAGGAACAAAAGCAGCAGCCTCTCAGGGTTCAGTGAAATATTTGGCAGATTGGTCCTGTGTCTTAGGGACCCCAAAGCAGCCTTCAGACTGAGCTGTGTTCAGAGTTCAGAGGCTACAGCTTGCATTGGGATTCAGTGTGAATGTGACAGATGTTTAAAATAGAAAGAAAAGTCACTGCAATTTCTTATCCTTATGCATTTTCCTGCTCTGCTGTCGCACCTCTTAGGAAGCCTGGCACTGAGTCTGAGAGGAGCTAGGGGACTCAAACCCAGCCCACAGGTTCTGTCCAGGCAGCCAAGGCAGCAGCACAGCCCAGGGCTCCTCCAGACTGCACAGCCCCAGGGCCAAAGGCACAGGGGCAGAAGCACACCGAGCAGGATAACTCATGGAAAACACTTTGAAAAGATCTTCCTAAAGCAAACCATTTAGTCACTCTTCCTGAAAAAATCTTCCTAAAGCAAACAATTTAGTCAGTCTTCCTTCATTTCTCAACATTCAATGAGTTAGTTGGTATCCAGTGTGCCAGCACAGAGCTAGATAAAAATGCTCCTGTTTGTTTGGCAGCGGCAACTTGCAATGTCCTTTTGTTAATACATTAGCACAATATTTGCTTTTATCCACCAAATGATAACAGGGTTGTTTTTGTTTTTTTTTTAATTTTGAGATGTGGTGCTAAAGAGATTTTAATCTTTTTTAATTTTTTTCAGCTTTTCATTTAGAAGTACAAAGTAGATTTCCAGGCTTCCCATTTTTGGCACATCATGTACATGCTTGGATTTTATGTTTTCATATTGCTCAGTATTAGTGGCAATTCACTGGATGTAAGAGCAAATTCTATTAAGAACATCTCTTCTATATGGCACCATGCATCACTCTCCTTGTTTTCTTGAAAGCAAAGAAGTTGAAACGTGTTTCAGCTACAGCAGAGTGGTAAAAATTGGCATAGATAAAAGTGTGAATAATGGCACAGATAAATAGTGCAAACATGATCTCTGTACTGCCTTGAACTTCCCAGTTCATAAATGTTCATAAATGTACAGTGCACAGTTTCATCTATGCTCGATTGATTCTCATTATTTCACTCATATTCCTCACAGCAGAACCCCAGACAAAACCAAGATTTGAATATCAAAGTAAGCAGGAAGCAAATCGCCTAAAGATTTACTTGCATACATTTGCAAAACCTGAAGTCACAGCAGATCATCAGCCCAAGTCTGTCTAAAACCATACAGATACTAAAAGAAAATCAGGATTCATGTGAATTACCCTGAGGCTCGTAATGTTTTTCCTTCATCTTTGAATAACTGCCAAAATTCCCATGAAAAGCAGTGGTTTTCCAGCTCCTCTTCTGTGTGGCAGAGCTGATCTTGTCCAGGAGCACGAGAGCTGACCTGATCTGTTGTCCCAGCTTCTGTGGCCCAGCTGGTTCTGCTGCAATTGTTCTCGTGGCGCCCTCAGGCCAAGCAGCTCCTCCACTGCTGGAGGAGAAAATTCAAAGCCTTTCAAGTTCTGTGCAGCTCAGCTGTTGCCAAATTCCCATTTGCAATGCCAGCCATGGTCCTTCTCCTGCTGAAAGTCTGCTCCTGTATTTGGACACACAGGGAGGAAGAGCAGAGAGGTTCCTGCCCCGCTGAAGCTATTCTTGCAGACTGATGTTATTCCAGTGGTGATGGCAGCCTCTCTTCCCCTCCTGTCTGGACAGAAGGGGGGATTTCAGGGCTGTCTCTGGGTGGTAATGGTGGTCTCTGTGTTGGCAGCTTCCCTGACCCCACCCCTGCTGAGGGCCGTGGCAGAGGGGCACCATTTGCTGGTGGAGCTGGCAGACATGGGACCCTCCTTCCAGTTCCGGGTGCTCTACTGGAGGAAGAGCCAGGAGGGCAGGGTGAGTTTTACCATCAGGTTGTAAGAAATAACTAAGAGTGCCCTGAGGGATGCACACTGAGACTGTTTGCCAGTCCCAGCTCCTGCTGTGGGGCTGAAGGACCTGCCTGGAGTGGGTTGGTGCTGTCTCACCCTGCACACACCAGGGGGTTGCTGTGGGCTCCTCATAGAGAAGCTTGTCTGTTCTTTCCACATCTCCTTCTCTGCGAAAAGGAATCCCCCCACATACCTCAACTACAGCTAGGAGCCAGAAGTCAGGAACCAAAGGCGTTTGTGCTGACTTCTCCCTCTGAACTTAATCTGCTTTACTCAGACTGGGATTAAGGTGTCACACTGAGGTGCTGACAAACTTTTCTCAGTTTTCTGAGCAAGAAATTGCAGCTTTAGTAGTCCTTGATGGATTTTTGTTCCATTAATTTATCTGTTCTGGCTTTCAATCTGTGTAAACTTCTAGTGTGTACAGCTTCCTACAATGAGCAATTCTGCACCTTAACTCCTCTGCAGTCTCAACCTTGATTTGGAGATGAGAGAGAAAACAATTATTCCCCATTCACTTTCCCTACCACTCTATTAGTTTCATATTCTGTATCTTTTTCCATCCAAGGACTCCCAGACTACTGAGCTGTTCCCTGTGGAAGCCCTCACAGCTATTTTTGTCTTTACCAGGGTGGGCAGGGAGAAATCTGCAGAGTCCAAGGTGCAGGAACACTCTGTGTTAGCACCATGAAACAAAACAAGTCTTCCCACTCCCTTGTCTCTCCAGCAATTGTTGATGTGACTACCACAGAGCTGACAATCCCATGGAGCCTGAACCCTAGGCTCCTGTTTCTGAGGGAGGATGCTGTGAAAATGTAGGAGAAAAATTCTCATGAGCAAAATTCCACATTTTTGGGGGTTGAATTGCATTTGTTGCTTTATTACCAGATCCTGTGTTCTTCACAGTTGTCTGTCATCTTTGCTATTGTGAAGTGGGTTTTTAGTAACACTAGCAGGTATCAGTTTTCATTATTCTTCCTGATCACCTCTGCTAATACCAAGTCCCCACAATGACTTCCTGCCACTCTCAATTAGCAATTTACTCATACAAAAGTCTTTAGCCTAAAAAGAGGCATCAGGAGCAGGACTGCCCACTGTAAGATCCAGCTAAATGAGATCAACCTTGTCCATGGGCTTTCTGACACCTTAAAAACAAGCAATAGGCTTGTATCTATAGGTTGTGTTTTATGAATGAAATATTAAATCTTCTTCAGCATGTGATCTTAATGACCTCAACATTAATTCTAAATTTCGGAATACTTTCTACCAACTGGACTGTTGAAAACATTAGTTTTGCTGTCAATACAACTCCTGTGCTGGGACTCTTATTATTTTTTTTAATTATTTTTACATTTGACATGTCTCATTTTGATGTTTTTGCAAGAGATCACCCCAGGTAGTCATAGACCTGATTTTGTCCTTGAAATCTTTTCAAACTAATGGCCCTCCATATCATGCATCTGTGGAGAAGGCTATTTTGATGGTGGGAAGGACTTGCCCTGCCAGGGGAGCACTCCTGGCCTGTAGGAATTTTCCATATGTGTGAAGCTGGAGGCTGATCAGGCCTTCTGTGAGAACAGGTTTGCATCTGCAGCACAGCAAGAGGAGCAGCTGGGGAGCTGTTAGCCATCCTCTCATGGCTGGGGACACTGGAAACAGCAAATTCATTTTGCTAGCAATGAATGCAGACCTATTTGTGGCAATAAAAGAATGTACTGCTGCATAGGGCTCACCTCGGCCTGGTTTTGGGGTGTCCCCTGTGGGCTGCCATGGGTCCAGATAGCTCAGTCCTGTTCAGCACAGCCTGCCCGGGCTCCAGGCAGCTCCCAGCCACAGGCAACCTTAGCAAGCTCTGCTCTTAAGTGAGATCAGCTCTTTAGTGATCATCAGCTCTTTGTGAATTCAGCTCTTGGCTTGCTGAGTGCCTTTGGCAGACGCAGGGAGAGAGAGGAGAAGGCTGTATGAGGTTCCACAGAGGTGTCCTTTATTGATCTTCTGCAAAGGACTCAGGGACAGCTCTTCTGACAAACTGGGCAAAAGTAGCTCTTTACATAGGGTACAGGAGTTTTAGGAATTGTCCAATAGTAAGGGTCAAAGGAAAGCGAGCTATAGTCTTACAGAGAGATAAGCAAGGGTCGGAAGGAGGGGAGAGGGGCTTCCAAGGTGCAGTCACCATGACTCTGCCTCTCCTGTCTCAGCCTGCTGCCTGCCAGGGAGGCCGTGCAGGCCCTGTGCCTGCTGCACTGCTGCTCACACGCTCTTTCCATTTGCTGCAGTGTGGCACACACCAAACTCACTGACCCCTCACTAGCTGGTCCATTCCCTCTCTGAGCTCTCTGGCACAGCTCTCACACTCCTGTCACAGGTGATGGTGATGGTTTTGGCATCCATCACGCCCAGAAAAAGCCCAGATCAGTCGAGGCCTCAGACATCCCCTCCTAGCAGGGTACCAGGCTCTGATCTAGGGCCGTGGCCCAGCATCATCATTATGATTCTTTGGCTTACAGCTCCTTCCTTCCACCCCTCCTGCCCTTCCTGAGGTGTGTGGGCTCATTCTGCTCTCCACTGTGCTTTGTGTTGGCTGCTTTCATCCTCCTTTTGTCCTGCTCACACAGGCTCAGACGTGCCCTGCTGCTCCCTCCTTTCCTCGCTGGACAAGCATCCTGATGATGCCAGATCTTTTCATTTTCCCTTTTCTATATCTCTGTATCCTTTACACAAATTTTTGGAGCTCTGTAGCCTGTTTTTGCATTCCTAGCTGGTTTTCCCATTGCTTATCCCTGCCCTGAGACATAAGACAAAATATATTCCAAAGCCTCCATCCTACCTTGGTTCTCCCTGGGAACCAAGGCCAAAACCAGCTCTTGGAGACACATTTTCACCAAGAAACTTCAGTTCCACCTGTGGGAGGGAGGATTTAGAAGGGGCCTGAACTTGGGGGAGGGGGGGTGGAGTTGCATCACCACTCCTGCTCTTAATTGATGCTTTTTTCAATGTTGCTAATTTACTAAATTTATAAATCTGTATTCAGCCTGTGGGGAGTGGGCATTTTCCATACCTGTCCCTGGAGACCTCCAATAAAGACCAACCTTTGTGTTACCTCTTGTACTAATATTATCTCAAAGTGTGTGTTGTTGCATTTCCAGGTTCTTTAAGGCACCAGTGGTAGGGCTGCTCTCTGATGGGAGATCCCTGGCCCGTGCCCTGATGCTTTGTGTTGTGGGGCAGGTGCAGCAGAAGGTGCTGAAGGAGGTGAGCTCCGTGGTTCACCTGGACACCATGGAGGCAGGAGCTGAGTACTGTGTGAAGGCTCAGACACACGTCCAGGCCATCAACAGGAGCAGCAGCTTCAGCCCCACGCAGTGTGTGAGGGCTCAGGGTAAGAGCCAGCCCTCCCTCCTGCCCCCTGCCATGCCCAAAGCTTGTGGGAAATGAATTTGTAGAGAATTTTTTAAGTTAGCTTCTGATATAGTTGGCTTCTGATTGTGATGGCATGAATTATACCATCTGTATTGTCTTACCCTTCACACAAAATTTAAAAATAGAAAAAAAATTAGAATAAAATTTAAAATAACTAAAATATTAAAATCAAATAATAATTTAAATTAAAAATTAAAATAAGCATTATTATATTATTATAATAAAAATAATTCAAACTAATAAAGAATAAATAGAAAAATAAATATATATTATATTATAATTTAAAAATAAATAATAATAAAAATAGAATAAAAGTTTTTAAAACACCTCTCAGTTACCCCATCTCTAAGTAAAAAAAAAAAGCTTAAGCCAAAAAATGCTCTTCCTTTTGTTTCCACCCTGAACCTCCTGCCTGGTTTGCAAACATGCTGTGTTTGTTCCCTGGGAGAGGAACAACAGGAAGGGTGAGGAGTGCAGCCCCCCAGCCTGGCACTGGAGTTTGCTGGGGAGGGATGTCCCCAGGGTGGGTGGAGGAGCAGCCACACAGGGCTCAGGCTGGCTGCAGTGAGTGCCTGCTCCCTGCAGTGTCTCTGAGAAGTTTTGCTGCTCTCTCATTTCCAGGTGACAAATCCATGTGGCTGGTTACTGCCCTCATCTCCTCTGCTGGCATTGCTGTGGCAGCTTTGACCCTGCCTTTCCTTACCTGGAAAATAAGTAAAATCTTCCAATACTCCTGCTGCCCCACTGCTGTCCTGCCAGACACACTGGTAACTTTTTTTTATTGTGCTTTATTGGTTTTTAGCATGCTGGGTATTCACAGGAGCATGGGACAGGCAGAAAAAGCAGATTGCCAGGAAGCCTTGCCCTTTTTATATCCCATTGATTCAGAGAAAAAAAGAGTTCAGTGCTTTGATTTCTACACACCCCACAGGGGTGTCCCCTTGCAGGAAATGATCCTGCGGCTTGTCCATGCCATAGGTCCAAGAAGCCTCAGAAACTCCTCCTATCTCTTCCCCTCACACTGCTGCATTTTCAGAATCACAGGATCAGAATCTTCTGGGCTGGAAGGGACCCACAAGGACCAACAAGTCCAGCTCTTAAGTGAATGGCCCATATGGGGATCAAACCCACAATTTTGGCATTATCAGCACCATCCTCTAACCAGCTATGGCAGCACCAGCAATTGTTCAGGGCTATATAGAAAAGAAGGGAAATAAAAGGCCATTGAATGTGAAAGGCTTTTTAAAAATTCCCTGGTCAGGGAAGATGCTCCTGGTGCTTCAGGGAAAATGGCTTGGGAGGCAGGGACTGACCCTGCCTGAGCAGCTGCTCCCTGAACCAACCAGCTGTGTCACTGTCAACACTGCTCCACGTCCCCTGCTACCCCTCTGAGCTTCTCAGCATCTTGCTAAGGAGAAATCAATCAACAGCTCCTCAGGAATATGTGAGAATGTCCAGTTCAAGTGAGAATGCAGGTTAGCAGCTTCTGTGGCTGTGGGTTCTCTGGGCAGCTGCGGCAGGAAGGATGAGAGGAACACTTTGTGGGAAAAAGGACAAGCAGCCTAACTCAGCAGCCTGAGGGTGTTTGAGGGAGTGCATTTGTTTTCCAGAAGGAATCAGAGCACCCCACCCAGCTCATCCTGTGGGGCAGTGAAGAAGCTGAGCAATGTGACCTGATGGTGGTTGTAATGCCCTCTGAAGAAGTTCTCCAGCTGTGGATTCAAAAAACACTTTAGAGCAGCCCAGAAAACAGACAGCCCCTTTGTAGCATCTTCATCCATCTACATCAAAAGCAAGTAAAGGTGGCAGCTGCCAGTTCCTGTCCTTGTCCTTCACACCCTTACCCAGGAGCAGACATGGGGTGACCCACGCTCCCTTTTTCAGCCACAGTGCTGCTCCCAAGGCAGAGCTGACCAGAGCAACACCTGAAGAGTCCAATCCCTCAGCTCCAAATAATTTCAGCCTCAGTGTTTTACCTCAGTAAGAGCTTCTTACGTGGCTAAGCCAGCTGGAATGACCAGGGGGAAAAAATGCAAACGCTGAAGTGAGGTCATGATCTTTGAAAAGGGCATGAGGGGATGTGGCATCCTAATCTGTGCACATGACTGTCACAGTGCTGGTGCCACCAAAACTTACAGACAGCACTGTGAGGGATGCCTGGCTTTCACCAGTGCTTTGGAAGGAGTGATGTGGGAAACAGCCAGATTTCAGAAATGCTTGGAGCGAGCTCTGCAAGACCAGCAGCATCACTGACAGTGTGCAGCTCCAGTATCACCCAGTCAGGGTGTCAAAAATGCAAAAGCTGTGTATACATGAAGGAAAAAAACCAGGACCTTTAGGGAAAAGAAAATAAAGGGTGAATTATTTAAATGAGAAAGGGTTGGAGTAGAGAAAGATTGGGAAAAGACAGAGAAAGGTAGGCTCCAGAAATAGCAAAAGAAATGGGAAAAGAGAAAAAAAAAGATGTGTGAATAGTGGTCAGGATTTTCCTGGGTGCTTGCTAGGTATCCCTGTGGTTCAACACCATACCTGAAACAGAACAGTGATTATTTCACACCAGGCAGATGTGTTGCTCTGGTCAAGAGGGACAGAGTGAGGGGTAAATGCAGTTCTTATCTTGGCAAACAGAGGAATATCAGGCTGGATGGACCAAGCATCACAGCATTGCCACTTAGTGCCCATCCCAGGCCTGACAACACCACTATCCTCCAGGCACCTTGTCCTCTTGAGGAAGGAAATTGCAAAAGACAAGAGAAATTCCTTCTAAATACGAATAAAATACAGGTGTTGTGTATATGGCAATTATGGCTGTCATATTGGAAAAAAAGCCATTTTTTCACCTGTAAAGCAGAGACTTGTGTCAGCAGGGCATGAAAAGACATTGATCTGAGAAGCTCTTTTCAAAAGCTCTCCGTGATTTTAATGAAATGCCAGACATCTCAAAGAATGCACCTTTTCCAGCTCCATTCTTGCAACCTTGTATGAGGCCATCGGGTGGCAACAAAGCACTGTGGAAAGGCAGAATTGGCTCAGGAGTCTGTACCTGCGCTCTGCCCGGGCAATGGGATCCCTGGCTCCTGGCCAGCCCTTCATTTTCCTGTTGCAGCCCACTTGTTTGGTGTATTCCTGTCTCATTAGCTTCTTTCTGGACAATATTGGAGTGCAGTGCTTTGGCGTTGAATTGTAAGATAGATATTGCTGAATATTGTGCAAATTATAGGGTGAGAAAATCCATGCAGGTCTGGGCATTGAAGACTCAGTGCTCCTCATTAGTTTGTTGATAAATAGCTGGGAAATACCTGGCTACAAGCACCCATGAGATGCTGGGCCCAGGGATGATTTGGAAGCAAAGAGGAAAAGGGCATTTTCATGGGCAGAAATGACAAGTGCCCAGCAGGTCTCACCCTCCCTAAACCAAGCTGGGCAGCGATGGCAGCCAAGCAGGGAGTGATGCTGGCAGTGAGCTGCAGTGTGTTTGGGAAGCACAGACAGCACAGAACTTCAGCTCCTTGCAGGGCCAAGGCCTCCTGGGCAAATAGCCCTTTGCACAGCTTTGAATTTTCAAGGGCAGCTCCACATGACAGAGGTCTTGGTAGTGGGGCTGGTTTAGGGAGCTCCCATGCCTCAGCTTTATCCTTATTTTATACACCACTGATCCAGATGAGTTCAGTGCCTTGATTTCTACACACCCCACAGAGGTGTCCCCATGCAGGAAATGATCCTGCGGCTTGTCCATGCCATAGGTCCAAGAAGCCTCAGAAACTCCTCCTATCTCTTCCCCTCACACTGCTGCATTTTCAGAATCACAGGATCAGAATCTTCTGGGCTGGAAGGGACCCACAAGGACCAACAAGTCCAGCTCTTAAGTGAATGGCCCATATGGGGATCAAACCCACAATTTTGGCATTATCAGCACCATCCTCTAACCAGCTATGGCAGCACCAGCAATTGTTCAGGGCTATATAGAAAAGAAGGGAAATAAAAGGCCATTGAATGTGAAAGGCTCTTAAAAAATTATTTTCATGTGCATTTTCCAGCTGCACATTAAGCATAGAGCATATGTTTCTTCCTCACTTGCAATAACAGATTTTATGTCCTTCCTCATTGCCAATAAAGCAGTTAAACTGTTGTAGAAAACTGCACAGACAACATTAAACAAAAGAAACACCCAAGAAAAAATTCTTAAAATGGGGACATGGGAGAGAACTGTGTAACTGCCACTGCCTCCTTAGCAGACTATTCTCAATTTACATTAGGATATTCCAGTTTATGGCAGCTTGAAGCCAAATTTGAGATGGTGATTGAAAATCCTTTTCAACCTCCTCCTTTGGAAGAATGTGCTGCATTTTGTTAAGCCTGAAAATCATGGTAGAGAACAAGAGCAATTCCCCTGCCTGCCACGTACACAGGGGCAGGGTGGCATTGGTGCAGGCAGCTGCCATCACTGACTCCTTAATTCATTTTCCTGCTATCCAAAAGTTAATTTTGGCATGGTAAACACTGCCTTTGATAACTGATTTTGCTCCCACCACCACAAAACCACCTTGCAAAAAGGCCCAGACCATTCACCACAGTGAAGGATGTGTACGTGTGAGCTTTGCTCTGTGCCTTCCCCTTCATGAGGTACCAAGTGGCTCCATTTCTTTCAAAATAAACTTTTCTACTTTTCTCAAAAAGTGTTGCATGGAAATAAAGCACAAACCTGCATCATCTTCTGAGTGAGTTTTGGTTTTGTGCTCCGTTACCTGTGGGATGCGAGTCCAAAAACCCAACCTTTTTATGAAGACTTTGTAAGAACAGAAGAAGTGGTAATTAGAACAGTTTCAAAGAACAAATTATGAAGATCAGCATAAAAACTGTGGATTACCTGAGAATCTGAGCAGAGTTACATATTGCTGCACTGACAAGAAAGCAAGGAATTCAATTATCTGTTCCATGACACTAACAGCCTGGAATATAGGGTAATTTTTCCTCTGAACTATATTTCATTAGAAGTATATTGCTTTTTGCAATTTTTATTCATTTCTCTCTCCAATCAAAATGAGATCTTTAACTTGATAAATTACCATTTTACGTGTTTCCTGCATTATTACTTTATGTTTTGTCTCTTTTCTTACAAAATCTAGAGGTAACCAAAAGCACTACTTTGACTGCAAATCAGTTCCATTTCTTGTGAAGGTGGTACTCTATCCTGCAAATAAACTGCTACAAAAATAATAAACATCCAAACCTGAGACAGATATTTATTGCTTAAAGAATTTGCCTGCAGATGATTCTGTTGCTATTACAGTGTGAAACAGCAGAAACAGAAAATTACTCAGCTCACGTCTCTTGTGGTGTTTCTCAATAAATGGAACTATTAAAAAAAATCAGAAATTACTAAATCAAGACATAAAAGCAATTAAAAGACGGCAAGGTTAAGTGAAATTGCCCAAGTAAATACTGCACACGGAGCCCTAATTTGGTTTCCTGCCGTGCATGGGCTATAATTTAGCTGTTACTACAGAAATGGCCCCATCTGAGGATTTTAATGTCCATGATTTGCTTGGGATCAACTCAGAGCTTCAATAAGAGCCAAGGACATGCTGTCCCCATGCAGGCAGTGGTCCTACCACACACACCCTGCCCACCCCACAGCCCCCAGGCAGGGCTGGTGTTGTTTTGGTTTTTTGAGTTTTTCTAAGCCTTCTGATGTTTATATTCTTGTAACAAACTTTCTCACGGACTTTATGTAAATAATTAATTGTTTTGCATTCTTTTCTGGAGGAAGAGAAATTTGATGGACTGTTGGTTTGTCCAGTGTCATTGGAGAGGTGGCTCTGTCATCCTCCAATCCACTGTCACTTTTGAAAATCTATAAATGCTGGAGTCAGGAATTAAACTTCCCTTCTTTTTACCTTAGAGATTCCAGTGTCCGCGTTGGTTCATTTTGTGTCTTAAAGCAACAGGCTGGCAGCAGCTTCCACTGGATTCACACATCCTCAGTGCTGGAATCCAGCAGAGACATGGGGACACTGCCAGCCTGAGCTCTGCTGGTCTGGCTGCATTTAATGGGGTTAAGGATGGCTTCAGGAGGGTCTCGGGCAATATCTGCTTTTTAAAAATATTTTTTTTATCATGCTTCAGGAGGGTCTCGGGCAATATCTGCTTTTTAAAAATATTTTTTATCATTTTTTCTTTGATCAGACATCTGAATCAAGAGTGTGAGGCCTATTTAAAGACTGAGCACAGGTTAAAGTCAATACATTCTACCTTAAGTCAAACAATTCCCATTTGGCAGAGCTATTTCAACGGAGTGTCTCTATCAGTATCCAATCCTGCACTCTCTGTTAAGGGTGTTGTATTAACACATACAAATTCCAGGGGTCTGTGAAACCTGGATGATTTGGGCACCATCAGTAGAGCCCATGGTGGAGGAAAGGAAGGTCTCTTCAAAAATGCACACAACCTCAGAGGTCAAGTGGAGAGGTAGAGTGTTCCCTACCTGAGATCTTGCAGGATACTGAGAATAGAAAGGACTTTTCCCCATCCAAAACCCAGTCAAGGAAGGGGTTGGAAAGAGGAAATATTCATGACCAGCTGTGAAGCTGGAAATACAGCTCCCAAGCTGAGCAGTCTGTATGATGCTGCTGAACTTCTCCCTCCTGTAGCTTCATTCCCATTTAAGCTCCCAGAAGATTCATAACATTTTCCCTTTGAAGAATTGCTCTCTCATTTTGCCCCTTTGCTGAGGTCA